GCCTCCAGAAAGGAAGGCTAAGCAACTGTTCCTTGCAAATCTGACCGGCAAAAGGCCCAGGGGACGGCCAGGATTAACTTGGTGCAAACATATGGAAGGAATCTGCTCCAGACTGCAATTGTCTTTTGCCGAAGCTCAGACTCTGGCACAGGATCGGGAACGTTGGAAGCACTGACTGACGCGTCTGCCTGGGCGACCCGAAAGGAGAAGCGGCGACGGAAGATGAAGAAGATGAAATTTCAACCTGTTAGCATGGAATAGAGTTATAAACATTCTATATTTAACAATGTAACGATATATAGTAGTGCAAAATAACTGCCTGCGGTATCGCTACAAGCAATTAGTAAATTTTTTCTTTCCCTCTGTCCGCATTTTGTTATTGGTGATTATGATTTATATGATTGATTTTAGAATTATGACGGACTCGTTCAGTCAGTACCTTTGTGGTGCTGCCAGTTTAATCGAAGATCTCGATAGTAAGCGAATTTCTTATATTAACTTAACTTAACTTTCAGTCTTATTCTTCATTTTTTCCGGGTTATTTTCTTGTTCAAAATTATTGCTTTTCCGAATTATGATTTGCATACAAAGAAGCGTCCATTTAGCTTATTCATTCAAGTATTCAGTTTTTTCTTTGATTAGTGATTTGTAATTTGGCTTTCTTTTCAGTCGAAGAGTTCTGGTTTGCGACCGTCACGAGTTCACAGCGTTTCACAATGTTATGATTTTCGTTGTTCTGATGAGAATAGTACTCAAAATATTTTGTCTTGCACGTAATTTTTTTCTTCGCTTATTTCTGCTTCTTGCTCTCTCCCACGATCTACGGAAAAAACTGAATGTCTCTGATCCTTGGCAGTCGATCTCTGATGCATATGCACCGTTGAATCCTGTGCGTTGCAATCTTGTTTGGTGGAGCTGAAGATGGGGCGCTAATTTCTGTTTTATGACTAGAAATGGTATTTATAGAGTATCTGACTCAAAACCGAGATGTCCGTCGTTTGAGCTTCGATCAAGTGACTCACCATCTTTCTTCTCTCTGAGGTTTATAAATGAATGAAACAAAGTGGAAGGGAGACATTGGACTACTCATTACGCTTTCCACAGCTGCTGTCGACTCTGCTTTTAAAGCGACTCACTCCTGGCTGAGGTGTGGAAATGGAAATCAGCACTCTACCAGTAACTTCATGAAAAGAAGGGCACCAGAAATCGGTCTATCTTGAAAGTGTAAGGAAGACGGACATTTGAGCAGTTACAAACTTTCTTTTTCTCCTTTCGGTCTCGTTTATGTTATCATTTAAGAATGCCTAAGATTGCTGCTTTCTTTTCAAGGCTGTTCTACAGCTAGGTGAAAACGATAACATGTAGGTTTTTTCTTCATTACCTGTCTTAGAAAGATGAACAATGAGTAACTCTGCGGTTCTTGAATTTGGGACTGTTTATTGCGAGTTGTGCCTTGTGCTGCTGTAGCCCAGATATAACTTTCCTGAAAGCTTGTATAATTAGTTCTAAACTCATTTCGATTGTTCTTTGATCATTCTTTTTCTTCAATGGTTCTGTGCATCAGCAATAGACCGATGCTTAATTTTTTGTTATAACTGGTGACGTTTCAGTCAGATAACATTGGCCATCATCAGATCAACAGGTTGTTTGCCCTGAAGCTACTTTTATTAACTTACGCAATAAGTCATAAATTTAATGTTGCAGTATGGGTTAGAGATATACAGGATAAAGAGAGCAGTCGCCGTTGCACTAATTTGCTCCTAACAGAATTCTTCAGTTAGGTTGCTGAAGAACCCCTTGTTGATTACGCGATTTCAACTGACTGACTACTTAACACTGGTTTCTTCAGACCGTGTCGTGCAATAGTATAAAATGGGACTATATTGCTGTATTTCTCTTTCTGATGACTTTAATGTGCATGTATGCTTCAATTTTCGCCTACTCTGTTGAATTTAGAAAGGATGCTGATCGTGCTTCGCGACGGCAGGACTTTGATCGGCTACCTTCGTAGTGTTGACCAATTCGGTGGGTTTCAGCGACGCAGAACGTTGAACTTTCACATAAGATGCATTATATCGTTTTAGCTAACCTTGTCCTGAGCCATACGATAGAACGAATACACGTTGGCCAGCTTTACGGCGATATTCCTCGCGGCGTGTTCGTAATCAGGGGCGAAAACGTGGTTTTGTTAGGCGAAATAGTGCGTGCGGTAACTGTCGCGTTTTTGTCCTATTCATTGCCGGTGCTTAATTGAAGGATGTTGAGAAAGACAGGCAGGTCGACCTGAAGCAGGTATCCGTCGAGGAGATTCTTGAGTTTCAGCGGCGACAGCAGGAGGAAAAGGACAGGTTGGCGAACATACGCAAGAATGCGTTCAAAGAACGCGGCCTCGCTCCATCGACCGACATCTGGCAGGAGGAGCTGTACTGAACTGAAATGTGATTGCCAAGTTTGGACAGTTTTGTCTGTCGTTATGATCCATCATCGCTGTTAGTCACGTTTTCTTACGTAGTTTTATTTCTTGTTCGTGCATGCTTTTGGCCACCCACCTATGAACAAATTCATCCATTTTGATGTCTCTGTTCGAATTTGATTTTTCGATTGTTAGCCATCTGTATCTTTCCTGTTTCTCGAAAAACCTTGAGAAGTTTGCGTCGAAGTCAGAAAAATTCTTCGCCGCGTTTTAAATACTATGTTCAAAATCGAATTGTCTGAAACTTTTCTGCCATTTGTATTGGAAGTATTCTGTGACAGCGAAATGACCAAAAGCAAGTTAACAAAGCCTGATACGCATGGAGCGAAGAATAAATTCTGACAACCCTGATTAGCGCAGATAGCGGATCGTTAGCTTCATTACAGAACACTTTAATGCGTTTAAATTAAAAACCATAACACGTGCAGTAAATATGTTGTATTCGCAGATAAGTATCTAGCAGGTCAGAAGCTGCTTACTTAGGCATATTATTCTCGCAGAATGATCCTGCAGCTCATCTGAAGCTACAGTTACATCCGTTGTTCTATCCGCAAAAAGCACAGATTGTCCAAAAGAGTAATTGGCATCTGTGGACTGCGTATTTTTATCGGCAAGATAGTGTAATTAGTGCGTGCCACGTACAATCATTGTATAGTCTCCTGTTCTGTTCCCACACTGTTGTATTCGTTTATCAATCTCATAAAGAAAAAAGGCGTCACCTTGTCAGGGTTCGAACCCATCACCTCTCGGTTCTGAGTCTGACTAAGCAACCTTGGTTCTTATACTCGCTTGGCGAGCTGAAAAAAGTTAAGTACTCGTACCTAAAACATTAACCTTATGTTTCAACCATTTCACAGTTCAACAACCT